GGGAACAAAAATAAAATTCGAGCAGGGAAAATAGAAAGAAAACAAAATTTGTGCACCAGAAATGTCTGAAAAAAAAAATTCGTGCAGAGACTTTACAATAGGGAAAATTGCAGGGCCTATCGGAGGTACAATGTAAGGGTGTCCCCGAAATTTCGAAAATAAGCGTTTTAATCGTGTTTTAAGAAGTTTTTTCGGGGAAAATGTGTTTTAAACCTTCATTGAAATGATGTTAGTCCGAAAAAAAATTTTTTGACCCTATTTTTCTTTGTCCAAAAAAAATTTTTGAGTCCGGAAAAACATTTTTTGGGGAAAAAAATAAAATTCGAGCAAGGGATTATTTAAAAAAAAAATAACCGACACAGTAAAACATTTTGAAAAACAAATCGTGCACGTTGAAATGGACCTCCCCCCCCCCATCACTTTTCTAATGGTCCGCCCCCAAGCGGTTTTTATCTCGCACCGTTTAGAAAATTTCGTCACAGCTATGTTCCCACACATACTTACAGTCAAAAACGGTGAATTGTTTTCATAATGAATTTTCATGTTGCTCTTTTGAAGTGGTGCAATATTTTCATATGGACCATACGTTATTGTTTCTTCATCTTGAGATGACGGCTTCAACTTGCTGTAGGATTCCACTGTTGCTGATGCTAGTTTCACTGTTGTTGTTTGCTTACCAGTTTTGTATGGTGATAAGAAATAATGATTTCCTTCGAACACAACATTTTGTTTTTCCGCTTGGCCAATTTTCTCAGGGAATGCCCTCAAGGCATGAGAGAATACCATATCGACAGTTACTTTCACAGATTTTCCAGATGGAAGTGGGCTATCCAGGGTGATTTCAAATATTTTGTTGGCACTATAAAGTCGTTAAGACCTATTAGCATACAGTAAGCGTCAATACGAATTTTAAGAAAAAAATTCCACACCATCCCATAGTGATGGTTACAAGCTTAAGGTGTCCCTACGCCTTGCCAACTACAGTATGTATTCCATACTGATAACCTCTGTTACATGCAGTTGATCAAACTGTCAAATCAGATATTGAAAGCAATGGAATCAATTCAATTTGATCATAACCCAGTGCATATCATCATCTTGACATTTTGAAATTGAATTAATTATCAACATGCCCTAGTGTGTGCATTAAAACCCTTGAGTAAGAGATTCGCTTTGCCATCATTCCCCTTGCACAGAATACTAAATACACCCAAGTCTTTTTGGACGGCCAATAAGAAATCTAAAGGACACCTTTTGTTACTCTAGTATTTTGGTAGCTATGTCAAGTGAAATCGGCCATCACGAAAAACCTCATGCGCTGTTGATCAGTGAGGACAATTCGTCAAATATTCTTACTATCTGTTAACTAATTGCACCATCCTTTGACCATTCAAACTTTTCTTGATTATTTACACTTTTTGTTGACTATTCATGTACTTTTCCTGGTGAATGTGTATTTTAAATTCATGGATAATGCTTTTTGATAGTGAAAAGAGCCATCAAGACTATCAAAAGTGAGATAATTCTGAATTTCTGAATAAATCTTCCAAAAATTATAGCCCTTTAGAATACCCATGTCCCATTGATAGTGGGATTCCCAGAAAATACGGAACAACCCCTGGCCCTTCCCCTGTCAAAGGGTATTCAAAATGGACAATTTAAACACCCAATTCTCAGATCTTGGCTAAGAACCTGCATACATTACTGTAAAAATTCAGGTTCCTAAAGAAACTAGCAACTTAACAATTGTAAAAAAATACAGTTATAGTTTGATTTCACAACTGACAAGTGAGAAACGCTATATTTATTTTAAAGTACATTTCAATTTTTTGTGCTGTTATTGCTATAATTGTACAGCACGCCCAGCATGTAGCTATAACTCACATAATTCGGTCCTTGAAAAAAGCCGAAACCGAAAACCGTCAGGAAAAAGCCCGTTTCTAATCTATAAATAACACACAGACATAAAACCGTGTAGCACGTATTTTTATTATGTGAAGAATTTTGGTTTTAGATGCTTAATATTAAATTTAAAAGCTTACAGAGGTATAAAAATACAAGTAGGAAGACAATGACAATGTTTAAGAATGTATTTACAAGTTTTCAGCTAGGATTAGTTAAAACATTAGCATTTTAAACAAGATAAAAATGGCATTTTATCTTGTTTTTTCCCAGTTCTTTGTCTTTTCCTGGGGTTTTTTTTGTTTTTCGGTTCTTGGACTTTGGCAAAACCGAAAAAAAGGGTTTTCAAAAAACCCCCAGTATTTTCCGGTATTGTATACCGAAAAACCGCCTCAGCCTAGCTATAACTGCACGTGATTACACTATTGCTGTTACAGTTGGATCATGTTTTATGTGCCACGTTTGCACTTAGCTGAAAATCTCCACTAGAGTTACGGTTCTCAAATACCGAAAAACCGCCTCAGCCTAGCTATAACTGCACGTGATTACACTATTGCTGTTACAGTTGGATCATGTTTTATGTGCCACGTTTGCACTTAGCTGAAAATCTCCACTAGAGTTACGGTTCTCAGCAATCCTTTTCTATTGTTTTTGTCTGCGTAGTCAGCGACGAAGCTGCCAGGATTATGCTGAAATTTTGTATTTTGCCTTCGATATAAAGACTAATATTATGACTTTACAAACTGAATATTTAATTAGGTTTATGGTCCATTCGAAAAAATAGAATTAGCCAGGAAAAATGGTATGAAAACTGTTTACGACCTTCATAGCTGTCGGACATCAATTCCACTGTCTTGGCTTCACTTTTCTCACAGGCTGAATGACTGTTTAGTTCTTGCTCAAGATACTGTACATATTAGAGGTTATATGTATGTAGACTGCAAAAAGGAGACTGCACAAAGGAGATCGCAAAAAATATTGCGAGAGGTGCAAAACAAACTCAGGATCCGGAAAGGTATGCATGGTTACTGAGCTATATAGTACTGTAAGTTTATCAACCTTACCAGACATTTGACACATGTCGAACATGTGAAATTGTTTGGCCAATGGAGCTTTAGCTGAAGTTTTGGAAGCATAATGAAGCCAAGTTTTGAACCCACAATTGCTTATGTATGCTACAATGAAGGCATTGCAAAAACCAATTCAGCACAACCACCACCAAAATGAACAACAGAGCCTCACACTAAGTTTTGTTACTGAAATTGGTATGTCACATTTGTTTCATATACATGTAAATAGAAATTGTCATATTTAATATAGATTGTGCAATGCTATGCAAGCTATCTGATACAATGTAAACATAGCCCTATAGTCACCCCAGGTTGGAAAACTTGCTCCGACTCATGCATGTATATTTAGGGTTTTTTTGCAGGTAAGCAAAAAAAAATGCAGTTAGCCCAGCGTGGTCCAAACTTGCCCGCTTCGCTTGAAGCTGCAAATCGCGACAGGAGACTGGGCACCAAAGAAGTTTTTTTAGTTATGTTTCATACAGTGAACTCTAATAAGACTGGAACGATAACTCAGGTAAACATGCCCATACTTGCCTGAAGCCAACCGAGCAAGGAAATTGCACTTTTAAAAGGACTAAGGAGAGTTTCGAGGAGTGGAAAATTCAGTCAAAGTTTATTTTCGACGAAAGAAAAGTCGTTTTTCATCAAAAGACTTCAATTTTAAAAACCCAAATACGATTTATTTGATAGTTATGTATCGATCAATTCGAAACTTCGCCATCCCCCCCCCCGGGTCGACCCCGGGAATTTAAACTTTTTGAAATTTGACTGATCAAATTCTCCACCCTCTGTGCAAAAAATGTCTTCAAATGCCCCACTGTAACAAGAAATTAAGCGTTCAAATGCCCCACCTTCATATGAAAATTATGAAACAGTAAATACAAAAAGTACAAAATATACGGAAATGTTTTCGACAAGATAGCGAAATTCGCGTAAACAGTTTGGATACCTTGTGGAAATTTAACAGTTTTACACGTTATGTAGTACGTACCTTCAAATAAAACACATAGATTTTCCATGCCCGTTTCTTTGAGCCAGTTTTTTCACAAAATTGAGGCCGTTTCCCTCGAAATCTGAGAAAACTGTATTTGCCGCCATTACGAAGTATTTTCTGTGCATGCAGGAAGCACGCGAAAACGGGCAACATTTTAAGACTTCCGGTTCAAATTCCCCACCCCGTTATCAAATGCCCCACCACATGGAAGACTTAGAACGTCAAATTCCCTACTCCCTGGAGAAGACTTGAAGTCAAATTCCCGGGGTATGCCCGGGGGGGGGGGATGGTGAAGTTTCGAATTGATCGATACATTAGAACTGCTTTGCATCCTACAACAGCAAAAGTTTGAAGGGTATCAGGTTTGTTTTCATAAAAACGACACTAGTCGAACGTGCCGAAGTGAACTTTGCTCTTTAACTAAAAAAAAAACAACTTTAAAACGTAAGTCTACGGACCAATACCTTTTTTGTATTAACGTCTAGGTATAGTTGTTTATTTTGAGTGCTTTTTGACTTCTCTAAAACGTGAATAAATCGATTTTTCCGTAGAAATCCCCCGTGATTTGCGATTTGTGATTTGGCGCCCGGCCAAGTTCGCGCGCTGTGACTTTCAAAAAAGAACTGGGGAGAGTTAAATTTCCTCGTAATTTTGTTTTTTTAGCAAAAATACACCGAAAAATTAGGTTTTTCGTCCGAAGATTTCAATTTCAAAGATTCAAACTTGGTTTTCTGGATAGTTTTAAGTATTCTACATCCACTAACAGCAAAATCTCGAAAGGTACCATTTTCGTATTCAAGAAAATAACAAAATATTTTCCGTGCCGAACAAAATACGACTTTCAGGTACA